CTGCAGATGGATTTTGCTTACTTTTGTCGCCTCAGTCAATCTCGCACCAAGACTCTGTCATGTTAGCCGTCTGCAGCTGGTAGCCGACTGACGTTATCAAAGCTCCTCACTCTCCGAGCCGCACCGCGGTGGATGAATCTGTCGATACGTTTCAGGCCAAGAGAAAAACGTGCCTGTTTGACGCTGATAGAAAAATAGATTGAAACCTGACACATGTGTTTTCACATACGAAAAAAAAAAAGAGAGATCTTTTAGGCTGCTTTGAGAACGTGCATCGACGATAAGATTATCAGCGCTGTTCCACCCACCTCAGAAGAGAAGATAATTCATATGAGGGGTTTCCAAGGTGCAAGGGAATATTAGAATGTTGTTCTGTTGCGCAACATGCTGTATTTAGTGAAACRCATGGGTCTAAATGTGCAACTTGTTTAGTCAGACAATACAGAGCTGGGCGAACTGCCAAAGGGTGTCCTGATAGCAGCTGAGCAGCCACGGGAGCAGAGAATCAGATAGGGAGAGCAGACGGTGGCCAGGTGAGGGTGTTTAGAATGCTCTGACACATCCTGTGATCTCAATCAACAGGAAAAAGCACGAGTGCACCACCACTTTGTGCCTCTCGCCTTGGTCTCTGCTACGACATGCTTGTGGGGACGATAATTTTTCATTTTCATGCCACCTTGCATCTGTTCTGCCTGTCGCTGTTTGTAACCAAAGCAGATAAGCTCAGAGAGCAGATTACGGTACTTACAGTGCATGAAAAACACAGCAACTAAACTGCCAGTGACAGAAGCATTTAACTTTCTTGCTAGAAATCTCCCCCATGTGGCACTTTCGCTACGGCGAGTTGTTTATTATGTTCTGAGCAAGGCATAAGCGATTAACGGAGCTCTTAAGAATCAAAGTGTTATAAATGCATGGAAACACAGCCGGCTGTAAATGCCACAGAATTAGAGGCTTACCAAGCCTAATACTAATACATGGCAATTTTCAGCTTGATGCTGATATAAAGAAATTACTTTTTTAAAGTAAGCAATAAATGCAGCCAAGGGAACGATTACAGAGGCCCTATTTTCATCCCGGCATAAATCTGGACATGACCTTTCTGTGGGTCCAACTCATGAAGCCACTTGTTTATTCCTAACACCTCCATAAAAAGTATATTAAGAAAGAAACTTTGATGGCCACAAAGGAAGCAGTACCAACCAAAGCAAAGAAACTGCAAAAATAAAAAAATAAATAAAGTACACGATTTGTTTTTGCTTTGCATGGATCTCTACATTGCTTTTTACGAGACAATATTTTAAGGACTTTGAGGAAAAGAAACGTGTTTAGGATATGTGAGGATGTTGTCAGGTCTGTAGAAACTGGGCAAAGAGCAGACAGTACACATCAGAGACGTCACTGCCATGATAAATGTCCATGTATCTAAATCAAAACTTTCGTCAGGCTGCTTTAAGCCTGTATTTGAAATCCCTTTGTTCTAATTTCTAACACGTGCTTGATCCATATGGAGAGGGAACGCCGTACATGTTTTTCACACGCTCATCCTTTTTGACTCGGCTGCACTTTAAAAGAGCTTTTCACAACAAGACACATTAATCCCCTAAGCTGCCGCCGGGATTTCTGCATTAGCAATGCAATCAAAATCACATTGGAAGCTTGTGTCAATAATTAAGCTGATTTTGCCACATTAACATTTAATTACGCAATCACTTGAAGATTTCAGGGCTGATCTCACATCTGGAGCAGCCAGCTAAGGGAACCTGAGTACACGGAAAATGCACTCCAGATCAGCTGCATCAACAGGAATGTGCGACTTCGTTTTCCTACAAAATGTTTGAGTCGAGAAAATTAGGAGGCTTCTCCACATATAGAATCCAAGTGATGGTCGGGTTTTCAGCCAGGCTGTACAGAAACGCCAAAACTGGAAATCCACAAACTTGCTGTAGATGTGAAACAAGTGAGTGCCCAGGAAACTGCAGTAGATTCTAATCACTTTCAATGAAACTGAAACTTAAAGCAGTGGATTTAGTGGAAATGTTCTGTCCCCACGCTTGTGATGACACATTTATCTAAAAGATACTGTATCCTGAGTAATCAAAAATAAATAAATAAATGCCCAAATGTAGAGGATTTTTAAGCCGTAGCAGTAAAATTCTAAGTTTTAGGACAATTTAACTTAGTGCTGCTACGATTAATCGATTAATCGACAACTAATCGATTATTAAAATAATCGATGACTAATTTAATAATCGATTAATAGTTTTCTTTTTTTTGTTCTTTACTTTGTTTTWMTCTCCAAACTGCTTTGACACCTTCCACTGCCACGTCTTCCTTTCTGTCCTTGACACACATGCACAGTAGTGGTAACTGGGGTAGGCCGTGGACGTCACAAGTAGGGCTGCACCGATTAGTTGAAATAATCGATGACGTTGATTATGTAAATTTGTCGACGCAGATTTTTTATTATCGATTCGTTGTATTACATACAGTAACCAACACGTGAATGTTCATGCAATTCCATTTCGGTACCTAAACGCATCATTGCGACCGTATTGGCATAAGAGTGGTGAGTTTTYCATGCTTGTCCTGAACGCAGCATCACAAGAGCGTAATGACGTCAGCAGCTGCTGCTTCAGTTCAGTCTGAAGCTTGAAAACAAGCCTCGCAGCTCCTGGAGTAAAATTTACCAAACAGACCGCCTCTGAATTATCTGGTGGATTAATTATCTTGTGAACACGACATTCGTTTGCTCAAAGTAAATAAAGTACCGCCACTTTCTTTATTTCATTCACCATTAAACAGAGACCGGTGTTAGGTCGAGCCACGTTCCCAATTTCCCCAGTGTCTCAAACAACAGAGGAGCTTCCCGACACACGTCTGACCTAAAGAGCACAAGCAGCCAACAAGTGTTGGACGTGTTTTGGATGTTCAAAACGTAGCTTAAATACCTTTTATTTATTTTAACTGCATCCTCTTTTGTTTATTTGATTTAAACTTATTTGCCTTCCATGGACCTCCATCACACATTTTTCTAGCAGGGAAATGACATCAATAGAAACACGTGGAGCTGGATTTTAATTTGTACAATAAGACAAAACAGTCTTGTAGTTTTCAACAGTTTTCACCTTAAAGAAATAAGTTACACAACTGATGTTACAATACAAAGAGTTGGATGTTGTCTTGATATTTGTTAATTTTTATATATTGAGAAATATGTTAAATAAAAATAATAAATAAATGTTTATTATAGTTTTTCCAGAGTGACTTGAATTTTGCATGATTTAGTTCATTTGTTAGATTGTTAACATCTTGCACTATATTTCTTTTACTTGAATTTTATATGCTTTGGTTGAGATTTTATGTTGATGTTAAATCTTTTAAGCTTTTTTTGTTAAAGAATTGACTCTAGAGTGAATATTTTGTGATCATGAAAAAACTATTACAGAAAATATTATAATATTAAAAAACATTTTAAATATCCAGTGCACTCACATCAGAATAACTTATAGATTTGTTGTTAGAATAATCTATTAATCGAAAAAATAATCGTTAGATTAATCAATTAGAAAATAATGGTTTGGTACAGCGCTATAACTGAAGTGACATAAAAAGGCTTACAGAAAAAACACATGAACGTCACATTTTAGGCACTTTGATAAATGTATTGTCCTACAGAGCCAGTGCATCAGTGCTACCAGGTGAGTTTCAATCACTCGTTTATAATACTTTATCTAGTTTGTTTTCTGCTTCTGGTTTGAAAAATTGTGGAGAAACGTGCTTTGCAATCATTTGATGGCRTTATTCACATAAATGCAGAACTTGCTTACTAATTTTCAACCTTTAGTGACCTTTAAATCCTAAAAGGGTGGTCCAATTTCAAAATCTTAACTGTTTTTGGAATCAGTGCATAGATCTCTTTAAGCAAAGAGAGGAAAACTGCTGTAAAGTAACTGAAAACAAGAGTGTTAGAGTTCACGACTGCAGAGGTCTTAAAATCTGTTATTTAAATGTGAAATAGGAGGTAAGAAAATGAGAAACAAATTTTATTGATTTTCTAAAAGCAAATCCATATTTTGCATGTCTGTTTAAAAAATATATTTTGTTTTACTATAATAAAATAAAAAACAGGAATCATTTTTATACCTTTCGTGTCAAATTTCTATCATGAAAAATATTTTTGGCAGACTTTGCTGAACTTTTATTAAAGATCCCTGCACTGAGAAACGCTACTCTGTCTTCTAAATTTGATCAAATCAAATAAAAGCCAGGTTTTAAGACGCAAAAGGACAAAAACTGAAACACATCTAATGTTCACATCTCTATATAAGCTACTACCAACCAGCATGTTCAAGAACAAAACGACTGACAAAGAAAAACTCTGTGAAAATAAAGCTCAGGGCTTCTGAAATCTTCGCACTTTCACACACACATGCGCGCACACACACACACAAACCACTTCCCTCAAAGTCCTCTGTAATTTGCTAAGTCAAAAGTTGACAGCCTAAAACTTTGAGCAACGCAAAGATCCATGTAAAGAACAAACAGAAGATATCAACAGGGTGGAYGGTATAACAACTCTAACCACTGTATGAGCTCTGAGATGGGCTATTCTTGTTTAGAAAACAGGGAATTATCTCCCGTGAGCCAACAGCGTCTGTAAGTTGAGCAGCTGTTCACATGTTCTAACACTCTGCAGAGCCTCTCTCTGCAAAACCAAACTGTTCCTAAACTGCTGATCAGAACACACGACCACCGGTTCCACCTGCAGGGGATCCTGTCCCTTTTCCTACTCACCATGCTGGATTCAGAACAGCAGCTTGTCAATGACAGGGTGCACCTGTCCAATCACCCTGCTGGCCTTGTGCGCACACATGCACACAATTCAGTACACAAACAAACACACAAAAAAAGCAGCATTTAGCTAATTATTAAGCCAATTCAATAGAGCATTCACACACGTGCAGAGGCTGGAGTCTGGTGAATGATTGTGTGTTTACCTTCTACAAGGACTTATTCAAAGCAATCTCCAGTTCCAGCGGTGGTGAAACAACCTCCTCACCCTGCAGACACAAAACACAGAATTATTTATAGTTATGAAATAATTAACACAGCAGAACACAATGTCATCAGCAGCTACAAGACAAAGTACTACACAGAAGTGCACAAGTGGAAACTTGAAGCGACCAACAAGGCCACCAGTTGTTATTGTCTGATGTATAATGAGAAATCACAAAAAATCAATTCTCCACATTCCTATGCTGTTTGCCTTTTTTTCCCCCGTATGCAGCTGTACCAGTCTGTGTGTCTCCCTCGGCTGCTAGGAATGAGAAAGGCACCATTTCAGCTTTGAGCCGGGCAGAAGACACCTCCACTTATCTTCCTGTAGCCGACCATTGTCCCCGTGCAACACATTCTCTCATTTCCATCTGTCTGTTAACTAAACTACTCCCACTGATGATAACGCAGGAACAATAGGGCCGTCTGTGACTCTGCGCTTTATTTGCAAGACAAAAAAAAAACCCACTTTTCGCATTAGTAGATGTTCTCCTGGTCCCGTCCCCCTGCTGGTAAACACAACGTATCTGTACCTGGCTCAACTCCCCTGGGTGGCCCTGATCTGCATGCACAGAGCTTTCCAAACGGAGCAGTCAACCCAGGAAAAAAGATGGGAAAAGAAGAAAAAAAAAAAGAGGTAGGAAACAAAATCTTATTTTTATGGTAAACTGAGAAGTGACTGTGGGGCACTATCACAGGTGAATTTGAATAAAAGCATTAAAGCGTATCCAAATATATATAAATAAATATATATATAACGCTTTTTCCCCACTGTTCTCTTTTTGCCGTTTACATTTGGCAGTCAAAACTGTGGCCAGGCATTTGAACAAGTGTGTCTCTGAAGCACAATGAACAGAGATAAAAAAAAAAAAAACATCCCGGCCCAACTTGTTCAGTTTCAGCATTAATTATGATTTAAATGCCCTTGTTGAAAACACAAGTCAACATGCAGCTCACTCTGAACTCTGCTGAGGGTTGAACAATCAGCGAAAATGGACCATTCCCACATAACTACCCTATTATTGTGATTCATTACACTTCAATTAACATATCATCAATGGAATMGTAAATCAATGGCGAGTGCTGACAAATGACAGATATTTCCAGTTTCAAACTACTAAACATCATTAATTCCCATCACCTGAAAGAGCCCCAGGAGCTAAATGAGTTTACCCAATGCATAACATCCATTTGAACAAATGTTCCATCATTTTAATGATGGAACATTTGAAATGGTGAGAAAAGCCAACAACAGAATCATGATAGCAGCTGTACGCCTTTTCTCCTTGTAATATAATGCCCATCTTGTACTACCTAAACAGATAATTGTCTCCATTTCAAACAGCACAAGGCGGTAATATTGCCATTTAGAACAGTGGGGGTGCAGAGATCGCAGGGTGAGGATAAACAAGCACACGCTGCTTCGCCCGGTTGGGAAAACCGAGCCCATCACACACTCCCGCGTTGAGATTTTAGGGAATAGAGCAACTTCTGGTTGAGATAATTACCCACCTAGGTGGGTTATGTGCATGCTCAGTGAGAGGCCTGAGCTAAGAATATGAATCAAAATGCAACAATTTCAAAAGACAAAAGAAACCGAGGCGCATTTTCCAAGCTTCTCGTGTCATATCTTCAGATAATGTTTTATGTCTATTGTGTTAAATAAAGTGGAAAATAGAAAAACAAATGACTTTTGACAAAGAAATATCTTTTAGCAGTTACAGAGCATTTGTCTGTAACAGATAACCAAGCGTTAGTAATACCTCTAGAAGATCAGATGATCCACATACATTTTTCTGTTCTCTATGCAAATACCACAAGAGTCATTGTAGCCGTGAGGGAAAAACACACACAAACTGCTTATTTTCAGAGGAAATGTAAAATCAGAAGGGTTTTTTGCTATGGTAATGAACCACCGTGGTTACATCTAAGCGGGAACAGACTCATTGTATTCTGTCCACAAACCTGTGAAGTGGTCTTACCTATTCGTGAAGGGGTCGCAGCTTCACAATATGCTCTCTAGTCCCAGGTATGTTATCAGTGCCTTTGGCTTTGTTGAAAGATTGCATGTTCAAAATATGAATTAATACCCCTCCACTGAAAYGTACCCAATCCCAACAAAAAGCCTGCATTCATTGTGGACGGCTCTTCAGCTCCTCTAATGGACAGGCTAGCCTCTCTCTTCACACCGAGCAGACAAAAACCATGAGGGCCCATGAATATTTACCACTAAGTAAAGTTATTCCAYTAATTACTCTAAGCATGCTTAATACTGTATCTGCTGCTACTTCTGTGGCGGCTTGTTAATGAACCTTCACACATCATTACCATATTAATTAATGCTCAGCTCAATGGTTGTCAATGGGAGGCTGCTAGTGTTGTCTCATGGTTCTTTACAGTCCATTCCTAGGTGTTTGGACCACTTAGTTTCTGAATAAATCTAGTGTCTATTTATCAAGCAGCATTGTGTATGACTCAAAAAAAGTGTGATCCTGGTTCAACACACCTCACGGCTGGTGGATCTCTATTAAGGGCGTTGTGTAAATAGAAAGAAGGCGTAGGAGGGTCCTGGATCTGTGGAGTCAGTGATATCAACATGCAGGGTCATTGTTGTTTGTTTTTAGGGTGTGTGCATGATATTTTCCAWGCAAGTGTCTGCACTCTAAAAACACAGGAAAATCTAAAGCATGACTCACTTCTCAACAAATGCAGCTGCTTGCAGTATGATACGGGCTGTGCAGCACATTCTCATTCTTTTCCTTTTGGCCTTTTATTAAAAAAAGAGTGAAAACGTGACTAAGGCTCATAAATCCTGAAAAAACATTTAAAAAAAACAAGCACCTTTTCCCTTCATTTTTCTTTATGATGTGATTGGCAGCACCCAAGCGTAATATAATAAAACCGAAACAGACTGTAAACAACAGCACTTTCTGACACGCAAACAGACTCTGAACCCACCAATTAAACCCAGTCCAATCCGGCCCGCCTTTATTTTGTCAGGGTTTTTTTTGTTTCCTTCATGTTTTTTTCTGAGCTCAAAGGCAATGGTGCAGTCTGGTGAGTGTCAGGCCTGTCTGATGCCCTAGATTCTACAGACCAGCCCTCACATTTTGCTGAGCTAAGCACAAACTACGCAGACGGATTTGCCACTCAATTACTAAGTGAAAGGAAATTCTATCTTAAATCAATACAAAAAAGGGACTCGCATTTCTTTATACTATCAGAAAGAGTTTAAGAAATGCTCAATAATGTAAACAGAGAACACGCAGCACTCTTCAGGAATTCTTATCTACTAAGTGTGGGGCCCAAAGGCTTTCCTGTAAAAAAAAATCTAAACAACTGTGGGTCAGGCTCAACAGTGAGGAAGAAAAAATGTCCCACACTTTAACAACCTTGCATCAACACAGTGAACATTATTTAGAGCAGTTTTAATATTCAGCCACTTTTTCACCAAGTAGGACAACTGTTGGTTCTGACCCATATGAGGCGTCACCCCTTCTCCAACTATAGACTATTTTGTAGGTAAGCACCACCATTATGCTGCAAAATCTGTTTTCAACACAAAATAAAGCCACTTTTCATGTGTCTCAGCCCCATTTAAATTTTGTAGTGGATGTCTACAATTCATCTAGCACAGAAGCTGTCCTTTGACAGAAAACATCGTCTGCTTTAAAAGTTATGCTGATGATATATAATAATTATACAAACTGGTATAATGTATATAACATGGACAACAAAATAATTTACACGGCCTAAAATCCAGTTTTTAAAGCCTTGCACACGATAATACGTCTTGATTTTCAAAAACTGGTTAGGCAAAGCAGAACCTCTGTATCCTGGTTACCTGGATGCAGAAATCATACCATTCAGTCAGCCTGCAGTAAAAATGAGCCTGAYTGTGAGCCATTCTCTTACACTTTAATTAGTCAACTAGTCTTCAACAGCTTACAGCCCAGTGAGACCAGATGTGTTTCTGCATCAACATGAGATTTCTACTTTGGTCTAATCTCAGGCTCTTTCCTTGAACCAACACTTCCATCTTCA